TTTCTTAACGGTGTTGTCCAATGTATAGCAACATCGGTCACATCAACCAGCTTGACGTGCAAGACGCTTCCAAACCTGGCCGCTGACGCGAGCGCTGATGATCCTTTTGCCAAGCAAGTGATGCCCGTGGACACCACCCCTGGATCCCGCGGTTTCCGTTGTTATCTGCGACTCCAGCTACAACTCAAGCTTCTTGCAGGAGTATTGCTGGTCACTGCCAGAGACGGCTCGGGCACGATGCGATGCAACAGGTTCCGCCACATGTAACTTTGGGTAAGTCATCTATCGCTTGTGGCTAGTGGCCTACCTGCATGTGCTATACTGCATTAAGCATACTACGATAGCCACGACTGGAATACTTGCTGGCTTCTGTAACGTACTTAAGTTGTCTGTGTGTCTGCGTTACGCATTGAGTTCCGTTACTCTCTGGGTGTCATGGGTCCATACGAGCCGGGGGCTCCAGGGCCGAAGGCAGTCTGAGATAGATAGTCAACATAAGAAAACGCTCAACCAGGACTTTTATCCTAAGATACAGTAAGACATGGTAATGGGATGTTGGCTTTCCGCCGTTTGCATACCTTCCTTCCTTGCATTTCCTTACTTATAAATATCTTTACGTGGTCCATTTCTCTGCAAACAGGTACTCGACCGAGCTGACACCTGCTGTGGACTATCTGTACCCGAGCAGTGGGAGCCTGGGGACTCGCATCACAGTCGTGGGCAGCTACCTTGACACGGTGACCGAGGTCCAGTTCCTGCAGGGTGGCGTGCTCAAGGGCACCGGGAGCAACGTCGACACCACTTCCATGTACGTTTTCTGCGATGCTCCCGATCTGCCACCGGGTGTTTACACGATTCTCCTGCTCAAGGCGAATGGCGAGAAGTCCGTGGATCCGTATGGCAAAGGTACCTTTACCTTTACGGCCTCAATCGACAGCGTAACCAGCAATGTGGGGTCGCTTGCGGGTGGGCTGCCGCTGGTGCTTTCAGTTGGCGGCGCCGGCCTGGCCGTCGGTCCGGACAACTTGACCGCCAATGCGATAACGATTGCCGACTTGCCTTGCCCCATATTGTCGGTAAAGGACCGCACGGAAGTGACCTGTCGTGCGCCAGGCATTAACGGCTACGTGTCTGCTGAGTACTGGAATTTGGGAGTGTCAACTTTCTCCATGCCCGACATCTTCAGCTTCACAAAGCCCCGTAAGCTTATACATTTTTGTTATGCTACGGGGTGCTCTATGGTTTGCTTACTGGAACTAGGGCCGCATGCGGTCATGACGTGTTTCTGCAAGCATGCATTAAGCTGGACTCGGTATCATTCGTACTTCGAGCGCTACATACCATCAAGTGCGTTAGCTCATGCGTCGCCGGGCTCAGCACTCAAAATCCTCTTCTCTTCCACGTACTCCAATGATTGTTCGCTGATGGCGATGACCGCTGCCATACTTCGCATGCAGGTATTTCCCGGATTGAGAAAGGCACATCTTTCTCGTGGGGTACCAAGTCGCCAGAGCCGGGCGTGATCAACTTGGACTATTGGGCTGCTCGCTTTACCTTTTACTACCAGGTCTGTTAGCACTGCTTGGGTCAGAATCCTACTGCAAGGACTCATATAAGTTATTCGTGTACGTGACCGTTACACTGCTGTGCAGATTTCTGTAACGGAGAACGTGACCTTCTACATGTATGCTGATGATGATGCACGCCTTTACATCGACGATGTCCTGCTTGGCGGTCGCTATACCCCACTGGACACAATTCTATACCCTGGCATGCGCAAAATGGTCATCACGTACGTGGAGTATACCAGCATGGCGTCTCTCTCTGTGTTGGTCTCCAGAAGGCAACCTGATGGATCGCGCGGACCCTTCGCTAACTTGGAGTGGCAGAAGGTTACACCGGTACCTCCAGGAACGCCACTGCCAGTCAAGCTTACAGTCAACGGCATTGACTCCGTGACACAGTGTCCCGTCACCAACCTGACAGTTGTGCTGCCAGGCCAGCCGAAGGCGCCGTTTGAACCGTCGTGGGTGCAGACGCCCAACACAACATGCTCTTATGTGTACTCAATTTGTCGCACACCGTCACTCTCAATATTGAGCGGGATTACGTTGAGTGGTATCATGCAGCCCACCTTCAACAGCACCAACACAACCTTGAGCATCTTTGGCGATTTCCTGACGGACCCAAGCCTACCCGCCGCGTCCCAGATCAGCGTCACTCTGGCCAACCAGCTGTGCAGCATTGTTGGTGTCGCACCGGTGACGGTCAACGGCACCAACACAACCAATATCAACTGCACGGCGCCCGCCTTGCCGGCTGGGCAGTGGCCTGTTAGCATTATGGTTGAGGGCCTGGGTCTTACACGCCCCACAGCGACAGCTGCGACGGACTTGCCAATCGTGACCTATACGGTCAGGGTTCTTAATTACACCTTCAACAACCCCAACTCCAAGTGCTATTTCTCCCTGTTTGGTGGCGGCACCTTCAACATCACCGGGTATGGGTTTGTGAAGGACTTGGTCGATACGACACTTCAAGTCAACATGACGGCTGCTTGGGAAACCGTCTTTTGTGGCTCAGGATTTTCGAACTCGCCACCGTGCCAGGCTGTCAACTCGTCACGCCTGAATCTTGTGCCGCTGGCAAGCGACGGCTTCACTGCATCATTTGGGCTGACACGCTTCAAGGTGCCTAATCCTGAAGCCTTTGCCGGTAACAACAGTATCAGCGGAGTCAACTTGCGGTATAAGCCGCGGGTATATTACACGAGCAACGGCACATACGCTGCGACTGCGGGCGCTGAGCTCCTCTACTTTTGTGGTGGCCGCACGCCCGCCCTGTCTGGCGTGACGCCGTTATCTGCACCACCCGACGCTGGTGCAACCCTGTCGCTGACCTGGTACTTATCGGGAGTTGGCACGCTAAACAACACTATCACGGCACCGGCTGCCAAGAACGGCGCCAGCAATGCCACGGTTGAGTTTGAGGTCGGGCCGACGGTGCTGCCCTGCCGCAACCCAGTTGTCACGGATTTCAACATCACCAGCACCACCTATCGCGAGGCGATTTCCTGCACCATGCAAACTTACATGCCGGCCGCGACGTATACGCTATGGCTGTGCATCCAGCCTTTTGGCTGCGGTCTTTTGCCTGCTTACACTGTACCCCTGACCATCACTGCTATGTCTGCAACTACTGGCGGGAGTGCTGGTGGTATTACCGTGGTCATTACCGGCAAGGGGTTCGATACCAACACCACGCTTGTATCGGTGCGCTTTGGCAACAGCACATGCAAGGTCATCAGCAGCACCGCTACATCGCTGACCTGCGTTACCGGTCCCCTGGACACCAAGCCAGTGAGCCCAGTGACGTGGCCCTTGTCAATTACGCCCACTGCCGGCACCAACGAGACCACCCTGTCGAGCTTCACTTTCACTTTTGACCCAGCCCTAGAGTCGACAGTGAGCGGCATTGTCCCGGCGCGCGGCTCCACTGAAGGTGGCACACCCGTCACTATTACGGGCGCAGACTTCCGTACCGGCGTGAGCACCACTGTCAGCATTGGCGATGTCGCTTGCCAGTCGGTTGTGGTCGTCAACAGCACCGCCATCACCTGCACTACCGGTAAGCCGCCCAACAGCATCCTTCGAGTTCCGCTGCCGGTGACGGTGCTGCAGCAGGGCCGTGGCTATGCACGCAGCTCGGCTCAGTACCAGTACATCGACGTGTGGAGCCGCAACAGCACGTGGGGTGGTGGACCCCTGCCCGGCTACGAGGACTCGGTCGTAATTCCAGCTGGCGTGACGGTCCTCCTGGATATCAGCCCGCCGAAACTTTATGTGATTGTCTTGGAAGGCAACCTAGTTTTTGATGATACCAAGGACTACATTAACCTGCAGGCTCACTACATCATTGTTAAGGGGGGCAATTTCACCATTGGTAGCGCAGAGAAGCCCTACCCCGGCCGCGCCAACATTACCATGCATGGGGCCCCAAATAGCAGGGATCTTCCGATGTATGGCGCCAAGGCACTGGCCGTGCGGCAAGGCGTCT